AGCAAATTGAGAACATGGGAAGAGGGGGAAGGGAGCTATGAGAATGAGAAGGGAAGGAAAGGAAGAATGCAGAGGACATGAGGGAGCAGAAAGGTTGAGTCAGGTGTAGATTAGATGAAAGGATATGCAATAGATAGGGTTTTAGTTGGGGGGTGGTAGGGGAGGAATGGTGGGAGACGGGAACTGGGATTGTCATGTAATTCAATCTTGTTTGTAATTCAAATTTTAAAAAAGGCAAACAAAAACATGCAAAGAATCATAAGATACACACGGTGAGTATCATAGCTCAGTAGTGACATGTATACATGCTGGACCCCAGGTCTGCTTCTGTCAGTTATAAATTTAGAGACACTATTTAATCTAACGTGACCCAATATAATCTCCATTTAGAGATAAGGAAACTGACAGCAAGGTTCTTGCTCAGGTTAAAAGCTGAATACTTGAGTGAGAACAGTGTCTGGCATATAGAATGCATTATGGAAATAGATTCATTAAAGCTTTGTTTATCGTCATTGTGTATGTATGTATGCATAACGTGGGGCAGCTAACCATGCCATGGAACGCATGTATACTCTGAGGAGTTGGGCCTCTCCTTCTACCTTGATGTTGGTTCTGGAGACCATACCCATACTGTCCCATTACATGACAAGCCATCTTTTTCTACTGAGCCATCCAATAGCTTTTTAAAAAGTTTCAAAAGACAAATACACCGATAAATGAATAAAGGTGTAGAGCAAGAAGTAACTTGGGTAAAAGTCTTCCATGAACATGTACACGGACAACCTTGATAAAGCTATCAGTACCAAGAACTTGAGTGACTTCCTTCAGAAAGTGGAAATAAAAGCAAAGATACAAAGCTAGTCTTGATTTTAGAATTAATCTAATTTTAAACATATAACATCTGTAGAAACATTTTTCTTTCCAGAATGAAGCATTAAACCATGAAAAACAAAAACACAGATGGGAACTTGAAAATGCCAAGGCTCTCCACTCAGGGAAGACAGCCTCACACAAACCAGGCTCTCCCCAAGCTCCTTGTCTTGCCTTGGTTGCAAGCCCAGCTGGCAGTACCCTGAAGGACTTGGTTCTGCCTCCTCAGTGTCTTCCTGGGCTTTGGTGCCTTCCTCACAGGCGTGCCTGAGCATGAGAACCTCAGTGCTGAGGACCTGGGCCTCCTTCTGAGAGGCCTGCAGCAGCGCCTGGGCCTCCTCCTACTTCTGCTTCCAGGCAGCCAGGGCCTCTTCAGAGTGTTGCAGCTTCTGCTCCAGGGCCGCTACCACAGAGCAGGCCTTGCCCAGGTCAGAAAGGGCATCCCCCAGCTCCACCTGGAGCCTGTGCCTGGCCCTCTCCAGGGAGGCGTTCCTGGCTTTGGCCACCTCCATTGCTTCTGCACCCTCCTGCAGTCTAATCGCCAGCTTCTTCCTGAGGAGAGAAGCCGCACTCACAGAGGGCACCAAGCCTTTGCTTAGTTAAAGATAGTGAGACCAACAGGAGGCAGGCTGTTCAACTGTCAAAGAAAAGGCAGCTCCTGGTCCATAGAGACAGCTGCCTGCTGACACCCTCCCCCGTCCTGAGCCTCTGGCTCCTATGTCCCCATGGGTGCCACACCCTCTCCTTTACCAAACTGGATCTGAACTCCAGATCTTTTTTTATTTCCCATAAATACTTGTTTATCCACATACTTCAACAACCAATACAAATTTAATAATTAGTTTCTTTAAAAACATTTCTTTTGAAATTAATAAATAATTACATCATTTCCCTCCCTTTCTCCCCTCTAATCCCCCCCATGTAGAACCACTGAAGACAGAGTTTCTTTCCAGCCAGGTCCTGCAGCCCTTTAGTCCCAAATAAACACACAGAGGCTTATATGAATTATAAACTGTTTGGCTGATGGCTAAGGCTTCTTATTGGCTAGATCTCTCTTAATTATTAACCCATTTCTATTAAACTACGTATTGCCACGAGGCTTTAGCTTACCCATAATGTTCCTGTTTGTTATTCCTCAGCAGTTACATGACATCTCCCTTTGGTGACTCTCTTCCCAGCCTTCTTCTAGTCTGGTAGTTCCACCTATATTTCCTGGCTGGCTACATCCTGCCTGTCCATTGGCTGAAACATCTTTATTCATCATCCACTAAGGAAAACATATTATATAAACATATTATATAAAAGGACATCCCCCATCAAATCAACTTGCTTTCTCTCAAATTAATGACCTCTATTTCTTTAATTGTTGTTTTACACACATGCATGTATGATGTATGTGTGTAAGTGTTGTTGTGGTTTGAATGAAAATGTCCCCATGGGCTCACACATTTTAATGTTTGGTCCCAGTTGGTATAACTGTTTGGTAAAGATTAAGAGGTGTGGTCTGGTTAAAGGAAGTCTGTCACTGGGGGACTTTGCGTCCCAGGTCCAGTCCTCTCTGTGTCTCTCTGTGTCTCTGTCTCTGTCTCTGTCTGTCTCTCTCTCTCTCTCTCTCTCTCTCTCTCTCTCTCTCTCTCTCTCTCCCTGCCTGATGCCTGTGAAATTATATTATTTCACAGTCACACTGCTCCAGCACCATGCCCTATGCCCGTCCATCCAGTACAACTATGCCTGCTATGATGACAATGGATTAACTCCCAAAAGCTGTAAGGAGCCCCCAATTAAAATGCTTTCTTCCATAAGTTACCTTGGTCATAGTGTCTCTCCATAGTAAAAGAATAAAAACTAAGACATATATGTGTGTGTACATACATGTGTGCATATTCCTAAATATAAACATAAAGCCCACTCAGTTCATATGTTACTTGGTATTGGATAATCAATTGAGGGATTCCACCCCTTAGCTAGACTATTTCTACCCTCACAGTATTCCTTGACTGCCTGGAGTTCCTTGTCTAGGGTTGAGGCTAGGTCAGATTTCCCCATTCCATGTTAGTGTGTCTCTTGTTGTCCTTCTTTGGTCTTTTTTAAGCAGCTATGTTGATGAGACCTTGTAGGTGTAACTTCTCTGACATTTTTAGAAGACACAATCTCACAGCAAACTTCCTGTTTCTCAGACTCTTACAATCTTTCTGTCTGTTCTGCTATGGTCTCTGAGCCTTGGGTACAGGAGGTGTGTAATAGATATATCAGTTAGGACTGGGCACCACACGGTTCCTTGTTCTCTGAGTTTTGGTTGGTTGTGGTTTTCTCTACTCGTCTCCATCTGTTGCAAAGAGATGTTTCTTTGGTGAGAGGTAAGAATTACATTTATCTGTGGGTAAAAGGATAAATACTTAAGAGCATAGTCAGGTATTCTGGTTTAGTAAAGCTGAAAATCCATGACTTCACTATCCTAAGGTAGTTGGCTAGGCTTCTTGTATCAGGCATGATTTCCCTCCTGTGAAATCAAGTCTAGTTAGAGAGCTGTTGGTACCATCAAGTTATGCATGCCACTACTGTACCTTTAGGGATAATGTGTCAAGCTGGCCATTGTTACAGCATCATGCCTGAGAAGGACTATTGATTGATTCCCTCCTTTAGAGGGTTGAATGGTGTCTTCCCTGTGTCAAAAGCTCATGGTGTCTTCAACAATAAAGACTTACCTTCAATCTCTGTGAGGCAACCAAGCACAACAGCAATAATCTATAATGTTTCAGGAGTGTCTTGGACAACCCTCACAACAATGGCTGCTTCTCATGACTGGTGTTAGCTCTTTGTTAGATGGCCTATGGCTCTTGGGAGAAGAATTGTCAGTCCATATGGAAAAATTTCATTTTAACTATATTCACAGGCACAGACTTATCTCTATTTTATGTGATTTCAAGTAAATATAAATTCCTTGTGACTTTTTACACATTCTTGTTATTTCTTTGCCCTCCTCCCTCCTTCTACTGTATTTATCTCCCTTCCCTCTCCTAACCTGCTTTTACCCATTTCTCCCTTCAAACAGATTGTACCCTACTATTCAGTCCTCTACTGCCCTACCCCATGACACATTTTCTTCCAATACTCCTGATTACATATTCATATCTGAAGATTTGGAACTAAAAACTGAAGATAAGAGCGAACATAAGAATGCAGCATTTGTTTGTCATTCTGCATATATGTTACCTCATTCAATATGATCTTTGCTAGTTCCATTCATTTACCTGAAAATTTCATGAGTTCATTTTTCTTTACAGCTGAATGTATATGTACCACATTTTCATTATCCCCGAAAGACAAGTGCATTGTTTCCATTACCTAGCTATTGTGAATAGAGAAGCAATGACGATGACTAAGCAAGTATCTTTGAGCATATACCAGGGAATGATATAGCTGTGTCATACAACAGATTCACTTTAGCTTCCTGAGCACTCTACACACTAATTTCCAGAGTGAGTGACTGAGTCTGCAATTTCACCAGCAGTCAATGAGGGTTCCCCTTTCCCCACATCCTTTCTAGTATTTATTGTCTATTGTTTTGTTGATCTCTGCTGTTTTGGTTGGGGTAAGAAGAAATTGCAAGGTTGCAGAAGAAGTAAGATGTTCTAACAATCTTATAAAGAGTAGGTCACCTCAAAGTCCTTAGGCATGCTCAGCCTTGAAGGAGCTCCATGGTTATGCAGCTTCCAGCAAGCTTCCCTTGCATTTTCCTGCTCATTCTTTTTTCCTCTCTTATCATGAGGCTTCTAAACAAGACACAATTCTGTCTTCCTCATATCAGCTCCACTCCCTAGATTGATGCTCATCCCTAATCTACCCATCCAATGCCTATTTAACAGATCCCATTGCTCCTAATAGTCCTTAGGTCCCTCTATGTTCCCTGCAGCATCTTCTCCCATGCTGTGGTTTATCAAAGATCCTACCCTGGGACTCCAGTACTACAGCACTCTTAGGAGTCCTAAGTGATAAAATGTATTTTCTTGCTTGCATCCCCTACAGGCTCTGACTCTCCCATTCTTATTCTGCTCATACTTCTTAGATAAAGAACAGACTAGACCACAGCTTTCCCTGCCTTAATGTTATTAAATGGAGATTGGTCCCCAGGAATCATTACACACCACAAAACTAATCTGTATCAGCCAGGCTTCTCTAGAGGAACAAAGCCAATAGAATGTATATGTAATTATGAGAGGGGATTTATTAGATTGGCTTATGTGATCAGAGGCTAGATAGGTCCATAATAGCCATCTGCAAGACAAAGAGGCAGAGAAACAAGCAGCAGCTCGTATCAAAAAGTTAGAAGCCTCAGAGTAAGAGGGACCAGTGATGCAGTTCCAGTCTGGGGCAGAAGACTTAGAAAGCCTTGGAGAGTTACCAATGCAATTTTCCATCCAAAGGCTGCACTCTGATGTGAAGGGAGATAGCAATAGAAAACCAAAGATGCACTCAAATAGAGTCAGGCATGCACAAGCTTCCCCTCACTCCATCTTCATGGTCTATGCAGGACCCAGCCCATTGGGCACTGCTATGCACATTGACGACAGAACTTCTCCATCCTGTCTTCCATCTTATATGCCAAACATTTTTGAAGACACCCCTGGAAGTGTGCTTTACCCGTTTTGAGGCAACTCTTATTCTAGTTAGGTTGGCAACCACGATTGTCTATTATGCAAATCAATAAAACAATGGGATAAGCCCTTTGTTGTTGGAAACCTGAAGAAACCCCTCTGTGATGAATATATCCAGGAATACACTGGGCTCTAATCACAACCAGTACGCTGGCTTTCTGACCATGTTACTTCACTTTTTTACTTGTTTCTTCCTAAAAAGCATCGCTCAACCTAAAACAGGAACCTTGTAAAATAATTACATGCACTGTGACTCCTTTAAAAAAAATGATCAATATCAGAAAATAGAAGCTTTGCTTACATGCTGGTTTCCCTAGGACTGCAGGGTTCACTAGGCTTCAGAAGCTTTAGAATAGCAAGCCACCTCTCTTGTCCTGACAATGTTGTTGGACACTTATTATCACATACTGGTTTTGCTTTTTAACTTGTTGGCCATAAATTAGCATCTGTAAGAGGATGTGAGAAATTTAGAAGCTGAATTATTTTCTTTCTTTTATTTATTTATTATTAATATATTTTTTTTTTTGGTTTTTCGAGACAGGGTTTCTCTATGTAGCTTTAGAGCCTATCCTGGCACTCACTCTGGAGACCAGGCTGGCCTCGAACTCACAGAGATCCGCCTGCCTCTGCCTCCTGAGTGCTGGGATTAAAGGCGTGTGCCACCAACACCCGGCTTATTTTCTTGGAGAACATAGAATTCAGAAGCAGTTACTGGGCCCCAAGTAAGCTTGGTTCTGCTAAAGCAGACAGGTGTCAACTTTCTGGTTAAAAAACAGGATTCCAGATTTTTTGTTCCACACTGTCTGCCTCCCTGAGGGAACGAAGAGCAAGATGCACACCACAGTTTATTTATATGACATTCTTATAAGCAAATGGGTCTTCAGTATTACCACGCTTACCCATTATTTTTCCTTGATTTTCATGATGCTGTAGAACTAATTGCA